TGTAAGCAGGGGGCTGTTCCCAAACAGAAACTTTGAGGCATAACTTTGTCTTATTCTTGGCATATTTTTAAGTCATAACACAGTTCTGGGGTTTACTGTCTCTTCTAATACTAGCACTAGCATTTATTATGTTAGCTATGATATTTCAACTTACAAAATAAATATAATTATTTCTTTTTTTAAAATATTTTTTTATTTGTAGATGGATACAATACTTTATTTGTTTTTACTTTCGTGTGGTGCCAGGGATCAAACCCAGTGCCTCACACATGCTAGGCAAGTACTCTACCACTGAGCCACAACCCTAGCCCTGTATAATTATTTCTTTGCTTCTAAAAATTAACTATACATATGCATCAATAATATCTGTGGTACAAATTCTTAACTAGCTTAGATATGAGAGTCTTAATTGCTTAGAAATGAAAAGTATTTCTCTGAGGGACCTCTTTAAGCATGAGCTTTAAGTATGTGGTTATATTGAGAGTCTCAAGGTTTTGGGGTGGGGGACAATGTATTGCCAGCATTTTTCTCATGTATCCATTTTTTTCCTTCCTTGTTCTTAAATCTGTTTTTCTTTCCTAGATGAATTAAGGAAGTTGCAAGAGCAAATGAAGTCCTTACAGGAACAGCTAAAAGCAGCATCACTTAAACAGTCTTCAAGTTCAGCCCTTCCACATAAATCCCCTGGTAATAAGACTATACTTCTGATAATAGTATGCATTCTGCCTTTAAGAAATTGTAACATTATTCTTTGAATTCAACTCCTAACAAAACAGCCTTGGAACCTCTTCCTAAATTGGTTTTTCTAATTTATTTTTAATCAAGAAAGTAAGTCTCCACGGCCCCCTCTTAAGGAGAAGAAAGTTCAGAGAATTCAAGAATCAACATGCTTTTCTGCAGAGCTTGATGTCCCTGCCCTACCAAGAACCAAGCGAGTAGCTCGGAAACCAAAGACTTCTACAGGTGTGATACTCAAGGCCTCACTGGTTGCCACTGCTCTAGCTATGTTTAAAATGTATTTTGGCATTGTCCTGTGTGCATGTGTGTGTGTGTATCTGTCTGTCTGTCTATTTATCTATAGTCTTTTGGTCTGTCTTATGTCCCCACTGAGAAAAGTAAGTTTCTTGGGAATGGAAATCATATGATATATTTTGTGCCTTTCCTGTACGTCTCAAAGTATTTAGAAAACCCTTAGGTATGAAGTAAATGCTTACTGAATAGTTAACAGGTTGAATTATTTTAACCATGTAATCTTAAAGTTGTACTTTGGACTGAAGTAAGTATAACATGTGGATGAAGTTCTCATGCTGGGAATATGTAAATTTAATCTTCAGGCTTGGGAGAGTAAGGCATATATGCCCTTAAAATGGTAAAGCTTTATTTGAAACTGGGTTGTATTAAGCCAGTGTTTATTCTTTAGGGGAAAAAACTTCTTTGTGGGGCTGGGGTTTTGGCTCAGTGGTAGAGCACTCGCCTAGCATGTGTGAGACACTGGGTTCAATCCTCAGCACCACATATAAATAAATAAAATAAATGTCCATTGAACTAAAAAAATAAAACTTCTTTGCCAGGAGTATAGAATGGTAAGCAAATACATACACACACACACACACACACACACACACACACACACACACAAAATGAAAAGAATTTATAAACCCTATATTGGTCTTGGTTTATTGCTTCAGTTTGTCCAAAGTGATTATTCTTCAAAAAAACTTGAGACAAAATGGTCTGGAGATAAAGAAGCCTAAATGAAGCAGCATTTATTGGCCATGTTTGTTCAAAAGCCCTTTTGAATAGCTTTGACCTATGATGTGGTAGTGGAGAATAGTTGCAGTCTTGGAGTGGTCATATTAATTTGATAACAAGTTCTATATTGAGTTTATTCACTCATGAAAATTGTCCATTCTCTTGAGACCTTTGGCATTATTAGCATATTTCATTAGGCAGTTTTCAAAGATTTGTTTTGAGGAGTTAGGACATGGACATGGTTTCTAATTCTAAAATTCTAGAATTGTCCTGACTCCTAACTTGGGAGCAATGATCCAGAGTCCCTTTGACATAATCTTATATAACAAGGGAAATTTTATTATGGAATATACCCAAGCTTTCTGATCTTTGGGAGCATTACAAACACTTCCAAGATGTAAAAAGTAACCACATCAGGGATATTTAATGCAGATAATAATCAGAATACCCTCGTCCCCCTTTTCTCCCCTGTCTTACAAATGGAATGGAATGGAATGAAATTAAATAAGAAAATCAAAAGGGAATTTAACTTTAGATATGCCCAAGTTAGAATTTGATCTGTGCATAGATCTCTAATTATTTATTCCTAAAGGAAGGCTTTCACTTCTGATTAGAATCTACTGAAATCTTGTATATGGTGAACACTCCATAAGTATCATTACATAGGTATTTTAGAACTGCACATTGAAATACAGTAACCACTAGCCACGTGTATCTATTTAAATTAGAAACTTATTTCCTTAGAAGCACCAGTCACATTTTAAGTAATCAGTGGCTACTTGTAACTGGTGGCTACCATCATATTGTGTTGGACTGTTTTGCAGAGATTTTGAGGGTAGGTTAAAAATGGTCTTGTGGGCTTCATTTTGTTCTATCTTCATTTTGTTTGTTTTGCATTAGTTAATTAAAAAAGAAACTAAAAACAAATTTTGCATTTATCCACATGGCTTTCTTTTTACTGAATTCTTAAGGTAACTTTCTAGAGGCCAAGAGCTCATTTTCAAGGATGACAAGTGCACCCTCCCAGCCACTCCAAACTGTTCCTGGGAACAAACCCAGTAGGATAACTAGAGAGCAGAGCTTGGGGACACCAGGGAATTCTGGAGCACTACCAGCTCAGCAGGTCTCTGTGGAAGCCTTCTCTGGCCTGCGACTCAGGTCAGTATGTATAACAATCCTCTTATTTCCCTCATTTGCACCACTAGGTGGCTCTTCTGCTCAAAAGACAGAGACTTCTAGGAGTAGCATGTTGGTGCAGCAGATTGACAGAATACCAACAGCTCTTGAGCTGAACAAAACTTGGCACTAAGACCAACAGTAGCACTTGGTTTGACTCAGGACAGTTGCATATGAAATGTTTAAGGAAGACTTATTGTTTTCATGATGAATAAAGAATATTTATCTGTTAAGAAGAAAATGGAAATATATTTAATCAGAAATTGACAGGTGGAACAGGGATATTCACTATTTTGAGGTGTTTTTTTTTTCATCTTTATTTAGGTATAATTTAGTCTACATTTTATTTTTGTTGTACTAGTGGTTATAGATTTTTAAAAATATATTAGGATATATAGGTGAATGAGGATAATAGAGTTCTATATGAATATATAGTATGGTCAGAGACAGAATAGATGTTCATATTCTATTAGAGAAGAACAATTTGAAAATTAACTAGATTTTGACTAATGATTAGGAATAAGAATATATTCATCAAGCTGGGCATGGTGATCCATGCTTATAATCCCAAGTACTTGGGAGGCTGAGACAGGAGGAAATAAGAATTCAAAGCCCACCTCATCAACTTTGCAAGACCTTAAGCAACTTAGCAAGATCCTATCTCTAAATAAAATATATAAAAGGGCTTGGATGTGGTTCAGTGGTTAAGCACCCCTGGCTTTAATCCTCAATACCATAAAAAAGAGAATGTATTCATCAAAGCTAAATTCAAAAGCCTTTATTGTTGTTAGAGTATTTGTTTTTTAAAAAGTTTGGTTGGAAATTGTAGAAACTGAAATTCTTCAAGAACTGATGAGCTTTAAATATCAATTCAGTTTTCTAAAAATTTTAAAAAGAATATTATAACATGTTATAACTTATTAGCACTTAAAGGATTTGTGATTTTTTTTTCCTATTCTATGTAAATCCCAGATCTATATTTGGAGAAAGGCAAACCTCACTTTAAAAACTATCTGATTTTTGTTTATTTGCTGTAAAAATGTGTGTATTGTTTATGTTATATAACTTAACCCCTTGAGAAACTGTAGCGGTGTGTGCCCATAACACCTCCTCTTATCACCTGGTTAAAATGCCAGATAATCTCTTTTTAGAATTATAATCTGTTTATTGCTGGTTTCTTAACTTAGGCGACCTAGAGTATCCTCCACAGAAATGAACAAGAAAATGACTGGCCGAAAATTAATCAGACTGTCCCAGATAAAGGAAAAGATAGCAAGTGAGAAACTGGAAGAAATGGAATGGGTGACATTTGGAGTTATAGTGAAGAAAGTCACTCCACAGAGTACTAACAATGTAAGCCATGCTATTGATTTCTGAGCTACTTCATTGAAAACTGATAATGGAACTTATATCTTTAACTTTTTATTTGTCAGTATTTCACTTTGAAAAATCTAGTTCACCATCCTTTGTGTTGGTATAAAGGAGAATAGGTAAAGAATGCCTTATCTTTTAAAAAGCTAATTATATAGGTTTCTTGGGCTTTTCATTGTTCAAATCATTCTCATAATATTTTATACATGTGAACATCCATGTGACACTGTAATCCTTCCTGTGGGTGAGAGAAGGGCAAGTGATCAGAGAGGCTGAATTCACAGATCTTTTGGAGATCCCTGTAAATGCAAATTATCAATCACGAAAGTGCTGAAATCTCTGGCCTATGCCATCACAATATGGTATCTTTAAGTTGGTGGCTCTTCCAAAAGATCTCCCAAGTTTCAAAATTGCAGTTGACTGAGGCATAGTGTGGAAGAAAAACTCTGTGACTTAGCAAGGCAAAAAACCTAAGTTCTAAGCTTTGTTCTCTCTTTAAATAGTGGTAGATCCTCAGGTTGACCCTTAATCTTTCTTGAAAGACTTCCATTTCTTATCCATTTAATGAAGCCTGGCTTTGGTTATATTGAAAATCCCTTCCAGCTTTAAAATACTGTGCTTAATCAGGACCAATCTGTTATTATTTTCCAATTTAGAATTTTCCAACCATGGATTGTTCATAAGATCTGATACCAAGATTGAGCTTTAGATTAGTGTGCCCTGTTACTATTGTGATAAATGTGAACAAATATGGTTTTCATTTAATTAAGTTCTTAATTGTTTCACACTGGCTAGAATGACATTGAAACAGTAGATATGAAAGTTTATCTCAGCTCTTCCAAGAAAGACATTGCATGAACCCATGGAAGAATAATTATAATGCTTAATAATACAGGCACTAACTCACTATAGCCTATAGACCTGTCCTGGGACAGCCCTGATGAAATAGTTTGTTTCAGTGTTATTCAAACAGTTCTGTTTTTTTAAAATGTGTCTTTGAAGGTTATTCATGTTATAAGTGATTCACATTTTGAGTTGTTTTCTCTAATACTTGTGAAGTTTTAAAGCTCAGCCAATTTTCTTTAACCAGTTAAGTCCCAGGTTTTCAATTCTTGAATATTTCAATGAAATTGACACAGCAGCATTAAAATAGGTTGGAAATCATAATCTAGAGCTTATTATATACCTTATTATCATTAATAATGTTAACTATGTCAATAATATTAATGGATATTAGTTATTCACTTTCTTTTCTCAAAAGAATGGATCTCCAAAAACAAATATTTATGTGAAAGTTACCATAAGTGGTATATTTGTTGCTCAATTTAGTTTTTTTTTAATGTAAGTTTTTTAAATTTATATATGACAGAATGCATTAGAATTCTTATTACACATAGAGCACAATTTTTTATATCTCTGGTTATATTCATAGTATATTCACACCAATTTATGTCTTCATACATGTACTTTGGATAGTAATGATCATTACATTTCACCATCATTTCAATTTAGGTTTTCTAGGTGTTTCATAAATGGGAAAATGGGCATAATAGGTTAAACAATGCTTTTTGCTTCCAAGCCAAGCAGACATTTAGTAGCATACAGCAGAACCTCTTTATTACTGCTAATAATATTATTAATTTTATATTACTGTCTCCATTAATCTGGTGTTTGTTAACTAATAGATACCAAGTTGTTTACATAGTAAAGTTTATGTTAGTAAGTTATTAAATGGTAACACTGTAGCTTCTTGTCCTCTTAATGGTGTGTGTTGGGGGTGAGGGTTAAAAAGGCAGTCTTGTGCCCACTGCATAGGATTAGCAGACATTTGATGATTGTATTTTTGGGATTCATTATATTTTTGTATTTTCCTACAATGAAACAATTGAACTGCTGGGCATGGTGGCACACACCTATAACTCCAGCAGCTCTAGAGGCTGAGGCAGGAGGATTGTGAGTTTAAAGCCGACTTCAGTAATTTAGCAAGGCCCTAAGCAACTTAGTGAGACCCTGTCTCTAAATAAAATATATAAAAGGGCTGAGGAAGTGGCTCAGTGGTTGATTCAATCCCTGGTATCAAAAAGAGTACTTTAGCACTTGAACCATAAATAGAGACAGGGTAATCAACAATTCAAAAATTCAAATTAAAAATAGAATAAAAATTCTTTTCAGGGGAAAACATTTAGCATTTGGAGACTAAATGATCTTCGGGACCTCACGCGATATGTGTCATTATTCTTGTTTGGGGAAGTTCATAAAGGACTCTGGAAAACAGAGCAAGGTACTGTCATCGGATTGCTAAATGCTAATCCCATGAAGCCCAAGGATGGTTCAGAGGAGGTAAGAATGTGTCTGTGATTATATTGATTGATTGTCTTTACAAATTAGCTGAGTTTTATAAAAAATGTTTGTATTGGTCTACCCCCCAAAAATGAGTCATGCTTTTATATTATTGTCTCCATTAATCTGGTGTTTGTTAATCATCCACAGTGTTCTGAATTTCTACCTTCTCCAAAGTGTTTTGTAACAACTACCTTTACTATATCTTTTCAAATTAGTTCCAAGGTTCCTAGAGTTTTTTGAACTCTTATGCTCAGGTTTCCTTAGATCCCTTATAAATTTTCATGGTAGCCTCAAGGAATTTTGCTCCATTAATTATTACAGTCATAACTGTAGTTTAGAATCAAAGCCTCTTCTCAAGCCATATTAGACTTTTTGGTACCATCCACTGCTTCTCTAATAAATTACAAATTACTTGTTGAATTAGCACCAAGTAATTTCTTTACCCTCATCCAGCAAGCTTTGCCTTCATGTCAGATTAAATTCAAAAGTAAGGAAAGGAAAAAAAAAAGTTATTTCACTCCTTGTTTTTAACAAAAAGAATAGCATCAGATCTTTATCTGTTTGTTGGGAATGTGTTTATCTACAGATAATAGGAAAATTTCACTACAGTTTGTTTTTTAACAATAAATGGTGGGGCTTGATTTTCTTACATGATAAAAATCTAAACATGGGCAGTATAGTAATGTCATGGCAATGACTCTATGAGTCTCTGACTTTCCCCCTTACTTACAAGATGACTGAAGTTACAGTCATCACTGTGGAGCAGAATACTGTATCAGATATTACTCCCAGAAAAGGACTCGAAACACCTTGCCAGTTTCTGCTAGGCAAGAGAGGCTTATGCACAAACCTGACTGCCAGAGTTTGAGTCCATTGATGCTGAATGCTCTCACAAGCCAGGCAAAGTAACTTTATTACTTATAGATAGGTTCTAATAATCCATAGAAGCCCATGATCCATAGTGAACTGATCCCCCTAAGACTTAGGAAAACTAGCCAGTTTCCAAAAGTACTCTACTCTAGACTGTATAACACACCAACCTCAAATATTATAAGGATAAAATCTAGGCTCTTCAGGACAGTTCCTCCTTATATTAGGACCTGTGTTCATAATACATTCTGCCTGAGAATTGCAAACAAGAAGGGAGAGAACTGGTTTTCCTCCTGCAATCATATCACCATTCAAGGAAGCTAATGAAGAGGAAGGATGAGCCGGCCACTATCTCCTACTAGGAAAGCAAGGGCTTTCTTACCAATTCCTGCTGAAATCTCATTGGCTAAGTCTCAAGACTTAAAGCTAGACCATTACTAGCTATAAGGAGTGCTGGGAAAGCAAAGTGGGATCCCTTTTCTGAGGCTGAGCTTTTGCAAGTCCAAACAAAGAAACAATTCTGATAGCCAAGAAGAAGGAAGAGATCATTACTGAGAAGAAAGCTGAATGTTTTCTCACTTCTAAATCTCTTTTGTAGAGCCCCCGTCTTAAATTCCTTTGGACCAATAAAGTCTTAAATCAGTACCAACCATTCTTTTATCCATTCTTGCTACTAAAAGACCCTGTCTTTGTCTGCTTTTAACTCTGCCTTTTTTTTCCTTTAGGTGTGCTTGTCTATTGATCATCCTCAGAAGGTTTTAATTATGGGTGAAGCTCTTGACTTGGGAACATGTAAAGCCAAGAAGAGAAATGGAGAGCCTTGTACACAGACTGTTAATTTGGTTGGTTTCAAACCTAAGATGGCTTCTGCTAAAGAAAAGTGATTAGGATTAGAGTTTAGGTATTTAACTGTAATGATTAAATTGGAATAGAGTTTCCTACTTAACAGGAATACTCAAAATGAGAAAGTGAAATGTGTGGTTAATAATTGCCAGTTTAAAAAGCTAAGGATAGGTATATTTCATCATTGCCAACAATGATGAAATATACCAGGAACTTATACTGTTATATAACTTCCTTATGACTCTTAAGAAAACAAAAATAACTTCATTGATATGTGATTCATATACCATACAATTCACCCTTTTAAATATACAATCAGTAATTTTTTAGTGTATTCAGAATTATGCAACCATCATTACCATGTAATTCAGAATACTTTCATTACTTCAAAAAAAAACCCATACCCAATAGCAGTCATTTCCCCAGTCCTTCTTCTCCTACCCCCTGGTTAGCACTAATCTACTTTCTGTGTCTGAATTTGCCTATTCTAAATAATTCACAGAATGTGAAACAGAATGTGACCTTTTTGACTGATTTCTTTTGCCTACCACATCTTTTAAGTTTCACCCATATTGTAATATTCTTTCATTTCTTTTTATGGTTAAATAATATTCCCTTGCATGAACAGACTGCATTTTGTTTATCCATTCTTCAGTTGCTTGACATTTAAGTTTCTACATTTGGCAGATATGAATAATGCTGCTCTAAACATTTAGGGGACTCTGCATGTAGATAGTGTTGTGAGGCTGAAAAGAGGCTCTTTCTGCCTGCAGCTCCCAGGGCTTCAACCCTAGTCCTCATCAGCTGCTCTTCTTTGCAGAATGACTGTGAGTACTGTCAGTATCATATCCAGGCTCAGTACAAGAAACTCAGTGCAAAGCGAGCTGATTTGCAATCCACCTTCTCCGGAGGACGTATACCAAAGAAATTTGCACGCAAAGGTGCCAGTCTAAAAGAGCGCCTGTGTCAAGATGGTTTTTACTATGGAGGAGTGTCTTCTGCATCATATGCCGCTTCCGTGTAAGACATTCTCAGGGCTTCTTTTGGGGCAAGAGTTTTGTTTGTTTTCTAAGAGTAAATCCAATGGTTGGACTTTTCTGTAACTGACCTAGGATACTTGTCCAGGTTTTATCTTTCATAGTTTATTGCCTGCAATGTGGTAGACAGGACTTCTATTCTTAGAGAGCAAAGCATACAAAAGGGAGTGATTAAGCAGTCATGGTCTTTAACACAGAGCCCGTACTTTTTTTTTTTTTTTAGCTTCTAACACAAATGGTGTGATTTTGTGGGGGCTGTCGGTATACCATTAAGAGTAAGCTCATCATAGTCTTAATAGCCCTTGAGTCAATTCTGTTGTGACTATTTGATCGAGGTTGCAGACCTCTTAGAACCCAATTTAAATTTAGTGAACACACCCTGTGAAGTCTCACATGGGGTGGGATGCTGCAAGTCAGACACTCATGGCCCCTTTCTGGGGATCTCAGACTGTCTATAGAGTCCCTGAAATAGATGGTCAATGGCCCTGTCACTATATTGTAAGGAGCACATCAGAAGATATGACAGGTGGGACTTGGCACAAAGAAGCTTTAGTTGGTTTATCATTAAACAAATTTTGTTCCCAATACAACAGGAATTAGGCAAGAGGATTCACACCTCCTGTTTATTTAATAATATCAAACATATTTTTATGATTTAAAATAATTACAGTATTTTTTTCCACATTGCTAAGAAGCAATATGTGTGCATTATTTTAAAACAAGAATATGCAATTCAACCAAAAGAAGAAAGTAAAAGTCACCTATAATCCTATCACCTAGAAAATGATTAGCTGTTTGGTTTTTAAGCACCCGGGTTTTTATTTTTTTAAGTTTGAATTTTTGGTAATATTAAGTGAGCCATATTATACATTTCTTTGTGAATCCTTTTTTTCCTCACAAAATAATGTTTTCCTAGTCAAATATTTAATGTCATTATTTTTAGTGGTTACCTGCTATTCTTATTCTTGGCTCTTTTAAACACTTAGAGGAACATTTATGGTGATTCTACTTTATAACATCATAAACTAAGCTATCCTCAATTTTTAGTTATTTTCCTCAATTTTGACACAAAGCTTAATCATCTTAAGACAAATTCCTGGACTTCTAGAATGTTGACATATTTTGTATTTCTTTTGCCCTTCCAGAATGGGCTCAGGCAAATTTGTAGGTTGCCTCTTAGTCTCCACATGAACCAGTTACACTGCCAGGTCATGGCATTAGTAAAGCCTACTTACATGGTGCTTTGAGAGACTTCAACAGTTAGTAGTAAATACATTGAATATTTATTTCTGTGACCTTTACTCGTCAGAGCATTGGAGTTGGTGCTTTTTCTTTCATGGTGTGGCTCTTTTCATTTCAGTGCTGCGGCTGTTGCTCCTAAGAAGAAGGTTCAAACTACTCTAAGTAATCTGGTTGTGAAGGGCACAAACTTGATCATTCAGGAAACTCAGCAAAAACTCGGTAACTTAGTTTCTTCTTCATAAATTTCTTTCTCCAGTTGAAATATGTTTTATTTGGCTTATACTCTTAAGTGCTGAATATCCAGCCGTCACTTGTACTTAATGCATAATATGGCCTAAGCTAAAGGCATGAAGCCCAGTAGCAAGACATAATGGAAATGTACATGTTGGTCTTAGCTGTGCCTTGGCTTTGTGTGCTTTAAGATTTCCTAATGTATCTGGGTCAGACTCTTAATAATATCCAGCATTAGAATCAGTGGTTTTAAATTCCTGGTTAGTCCTATCAGTTATCTTTTGTTAATTCTAAATCAGAGAATGCCAGCCTACTGTGTACTTTTGGTCTTAACATGGCCGGGGCCTAGCATAGAAATAGTGTCTGAAACAACCCCACAGATATTAGTGCCTAATATTCTAGTTATTACTAGAAATAACATACTTACGATACCCTTGCAGTCCTAGACAGATGTTAGGGGTCAAGGGCTCTGTATTTTCTCTTGACATTCCATTTGCTTTATTTTAAGTGATGAGTACAGGTTTTTTAAAATGACACATCTTATGACATCAAACCATCTGAATTTTGGATCCTTTCTAAAGCCGATGTTTGCACATCCCAGGAATACCCCAGAAGGCCTTGTCTTGCTCTGAGGAGTTCAGGGAACTGATGGACCTGCCAATATTTGGAGCCAGAAACTTAAAAGAACACTTAGTGAAAGCCAAGGCTTCAGGTACAGTCAGCTCACAGGCAGCAGTGTGGGCCCTAGTTCTTGGTTCTCAGGGAACCCCTAAGATGGGCTTGTGTTTCAGGGTTCATGGGAAGCTCAAAACCTGCCATCCAGTCTATCTCAGCATCAGCCCTCCTGAAACAGCAGAAGCAGAAAATGTTGGAGATGAGGAAGAGGAAATCAGAAGAAATTCAGAAACGGTAAGAGGAGCAGATTTAACATTCACTGTTTCGGTAACTTATCTTGGGAATCCTTTGAATTTCTTAATCGATTTCAATTTCAAAATGTGACTTCAGATTTGGTTGGATACGTTTGTGTCATAACCCGAAGAGCACTGAAGGCTCTACATTTCTAACTTAGGCTAGTGACTCCTGAAACCAGATATAGATTAGTTAGTACCACTGTGGAAAAAGAGAAAGGAGTGAAGCATGAAGAGGATTTTTATAGAAAGGGAAGACATGTTCACTTATTTGGCTCTCGTTTTTTTTATTTTGTTACAATTAGGTTTTTAAATATAGGCAGAGCCAATGAGTGAATTGTTATACTTAGTTATTCAGATAAATGAGAAAAATGAGGCACTAAAAATAAGGAATCATTTTTTGAAGTAAAATCAAGTGGAAATAGGGAGAGTGGACAAATCAGAAATTCCTGAACTCAGGTTGTTTGGATAGTGATAACAACCACTGTTTATAAGTGCTTAACATGCACCAAGCAGTCACTTCCTGAATATAGCATTTCATTCAGTCCTCACAATAACCTGAGAAGGTTTTATGGTCCTGGTTTTACTGATGATGAAACTGAAGATAACAGCCGGGTTTCAGCCTCCACCCATTCTACTCCACTGTTTTAACCAATCTGCTATCCAAAGTCTGGGCTGCTAAAAAGGTGGGTGGTTACATGGAAACTCAATTAAAAGTCAAGGGGAAATTCTTTGGAAAAATAAGAGAAAGGTAAGAAGGGTTTGGTCTCAGGCGGCTTAGTTTGAGATTCTGATAGGATACCTACAGAAGTTATTTATCATGTGCCTCCAGGTAACATAAATATATATATGCACATGAAAATATATTGGGTTGTGAGCCTGGTGGGAAATAAATAATACAAGTCAGCTAGAAGGCATTATAGTATGCATTTTTCAGGATTTTGCTGGCAAAACAAAACATAACCTTCGGGCAGGATTTGATAAGTGGTTTGCAGACTAGCTTAGACCTCATAGGAGTGCTCATTGATAGAGAAAGGAATACTGGTCTGAGATTACCTGCTACCAGTTGTGAGTCTGTTATTTGTAAGCAATGTGATCTTGGGCCTCAGTTTCTTCATCTAAAAATGAAGAGTTTGAACGAAATGATTTTTGAGATTCACTATTTTGATGTTGTTGTATTCTTAAATTGTAGGTTTGTTTTTTTAAAACATAAGGGCATTTTACAAAAAGAATTTGAAGACTACCAAAGGTTTTTTTAAAAATTTTTTTATTTGTTCTAATTAGTTCTACATGACAGTAGAATACATTTTGACACACTGTGCACAAATGGAGCATGACTTTTCATTCCTCTGGCTGTACATGGTGCAAAGTCACACCAGTAGTGTAATCATACATGTATATAGGGCAATGATGACTGTCATTCTACTGTCCTTCCCGTCCCTACACTCCCTCCCTTCCTCTCACTCCCCTCTGCAAAAGCCAAAGTTCCTTCATTATTCCCAAACTCCCTTCCCTGCCATTCCCTCCTGCCCATGTATACACACTGTGGATCAGCATCTGCTTATCATAGAAAACATTTGGTCTTTGGTTTTTTGAGTTTGGCTTATTTCACTTAGCATGATTTTCTCATTTACCTGCCATGTCATAATTTCATTCTTCTTAAGCCTGAGTAATATTCCATTGTGTATGTACCACATTTTCTTTATCTATTCATCTTTTGAAGGGCATCTAGGTTGGTTTCATAGTTTTGTTATTCTGAGTTGAGGTGCTATAAAACACTGATGTGGCTGTATTACTGTAGTATGCTGATTTTAAGTCCTCTGGGTGTAAACCGAGGAGTTGGATAGCTGGGTCAAATGGTGGTTGCATTACCAGTTTTCTGAGGAATCTTCATGCTGCTTTCCATAGTAGTTGCACCAATTTGCAGTTCCCCCAGCAATGTGTGAGTGTGCCTTTTTCCCCACATCCTTGCCAACACTTATTATTACTTGTATTCTTGATAATTGTTGTTTTGACTGGAGTGAGATGAAATCTTAGAGTAGTTTTGATTTGCATCTCTCTAATTGCCAGAGGTGATGAACATTTTGTCATATGTTTGTTGGTCAATTCTGTTTCTTCTGTGAAGTATCTGTTCACTTCCTTAGCCTATTTATTGCCTGGGTTATGTGTGTGTTTTTTTTTTTTATGTTAAGTTTATTGAGTTATTTATATATCCTGGAGATTAGTGCTCTGTCTGAGATGTGTATGGTAGAGATTTTATCCCATTCTGTAGGCTCTCTCTTCATATTATTGTTACCTTTGCTGAGAAGAAGCTTTTTAGTTTGGAGATTCACTCTTTTTAAATAACTCTTAAAACCATGTGTAATCACCATAAAGGTTACAGTGCCTCTCTATTAAGGACTTCCAAACGCATCCTATGTTTTTTGTCTTCCCAGTTGAGTAAACTAAAATGCAGAGGGATTCAGTGAGGTCCTCCAGGTCCTAGAGCTAACCACAGGCTGGGATTCTGTCCACACCTTAGCTTCAGGACTGAGCCCTGCAGAAGACACCCATTGGAAAGACAGTTGGTGGTGAAAGAGTTCATCAGTTCTAAAGTATACAACAGTCAGAGCTTATTCAATGAAAAGTCAATTAATCTAAGTGTTAGAGTTGTTCTTGTGTGTAACTTGAATGATTAACCTAGGAAGAAATTATTTTAAAAACAAACTAGTTATGAGCTGGTGGCCTGCCTAGAGTCTCTCAGTCCAGTTTGAGTTCTGGAGTTTCCATCTGTGTAAAACCGAGTGTATGTTTTATTTCTGCATGTTTCTTTAAAGATTTCTTCAAAGCTCCAGCAAAGACCAGAGACCAGCTGTTCCATGCTCATCTCAGCTTCCCACTTTCCAGTCTCTGAGAACAGGGGCTGAGTTCCCAGGGCTGGAAGGCACAGTGGCCACACAAGTGCCTAAGCTTGGCCGAGGCATCTCAGAAGGGGAAGATGTTCTCTTTTTTGATGAGTCACCACCACCAAGACCAAAACTGAGTGCAGTTGCAGAAGCTAAAAAGGTAACTGGCTTCTATTTTCTTTAGTGCTTGATTTTGCATTCCGTAAGACACAGCTTGGGTGTCAAACTATATACTCATGTTCACTAGATTCCTAGTGGTTATTTACCAATCGTGTTGTATAGAGTAAAAGGAACTTTAAATGATAATGGTATCCACATATCATTCATTTAATCTAAGAAAATTGAGTCCTGTTTCAACTATTCTTAATTAGGCTAAAGGAAATAGCCTCCAGGAAAATATTGCTTTACAGCTAGAGACATTGCTGTTAGGGAAAAAATTAGAATTTTTGAGGCAAGACTAAAAACTAGTGGTTTAAAGATTCCTTCTTTAGGGTGAGGGTGTAGCTCAGTGCTACAGTGTGTATTTAGCTCACACAAGGCCCTGGGTTTGATCCCAGCAACCAAAAAAATAAAAAAGAATTCTTCTTTAAAAAAAAACCTTATACAGAAGTCCAGTCTGTCAATAGATGAAAGCTAAATAGAACACTGCCCTAGTCCCTTGATTGAACTTCTTTCTGCTTTTCTCTAATCACAGTAACATCAATAATAACAGCAGTTGCACATATTGAGTAATATTACTCTGCGCATGCCATGCTCATCCTATGTGCAGGTATATGCCTTGTCTCATTGAATCCAGACAAGTAGAACCTTATAATAAGACAGGTCAATGCTATCATCATCCCCTTTTATCAATGTAGAAACTGAGACTGAGAAATGAAGTAATATTACATGCTACTCAGGGCCTGAGCTGGAATTCTACCTGAATTCTGATTCTAAAACTTACAAAATGATCATGTGATCCCCTTTATAGATCTTGAAGCCTGTAGTCTGTGATATTAAGCTATTTGTTTCATTTAAGTAAACTGAAATGTCATTCATCAGTTTATAGACCTGTCTCTCTGTTATTAGATTCTAATAATTATTACTAATTCTAGGTAAGATGAAGAAATACTCTGTCAATTTCCATCAGAAAATAGAGAGACTCCACTGGTTAATATCTGGAAAGGGGAAGATGCTTTGGGTGCCTGTTTCATCTTTAGATTCCTATCTTCTTCTCTTTTTTTTCTAGTTGGCTGCTATCTCCAAATTAAGGGCAAAAGGCCAGATTCTTACAAAAACTGATCCAAATAACATTACAAAGAAACAAAAGGACTCCCAGAATGTCCTGGAAGTGAAGAATCGTGTAGAAAAGAACAATACATTTTCTCCTCAAGGTAGTAACCATAACCAGTGCTCTGATGCTAAGTATTTTTTTTTTTTTTTTTGGGGATGGTGTTGGGAATCAACCCCACGGACTCACACATGTGAAGCAAGCGCTCTATTACTGAGCTGTGTCCCCAACCCTTTATATTTTGAGTTGACTTGAACTTGCAATCTTTCTACCTTGGCCTTCTAAGCAACTGGAATTATAGGCATGCAACACTATGCCCAGCCCAAGTCATTTTTTCACTTGCATTTCCCCCACATAAGATTTAAGATTGAAACTGATTGTGTTTTTATAACCACATTAAATTGGAATGAAATTAATACACAATTTGAACCATCAGGAAAAAGATTCCTCACGAATCTTTGCAGAATGCATTAGCATGAAAATTTACTTTGAAATAAATAGAAATCCTTTGTTTTAAATTGCAGTTCATTTTTAAAACTCTGTAGTTAGTAATGTCATTTTTTAATTGGTTTATAAATAGGATTTTTCTTATTATCTGTTATCATAATCAGATCCTTATATTAAAGTGAAAGAGATATTCTGATCCAGCGGTCAGATCACCCCTATATTCTACTGCTTGGCTCACTCCCTGAGCTTTTGATCTCAAGGTTGAAAGACCCAATAGAGAGTCGGAGGAAGCTAAACATCTGAGGCACCATTGGCAGGGAACAGGGATGCTATGCTGTCTCAGATTTCTCTGTTACATTTAACATTTTTTCTTTCTGCTCTAGCTGAGGATGAATTTGAGCCTGCCAAGAAAAAAAGGAGAGAGCAGCTCTCTTACCTGGAATCTGAGGAATTCCAGAAAATTCTAAAAGCAAAGTCAAAGCACACAGGCATCCAGAAAGAGGTAAGAACCCCCCAAATCAGAAAGATGTCAATGTCCTTTAAACCTGAGGTGCTTTGTTGTACAACAAAGAACTTTCTTGTACATATGTCAAGAAATAACTAGGGCAGTTTGTTTGGGTTTGCTTTAAAAGGCAGGAATATTTTCAAATAATTTTAGCTTTGCTCTTGTCCTTATACTGAAGAATAGCAGTTTGTTTATTATTTAAACAGACTTCAGTATCTAAAATTGTTTTCATGTAATTATGGTTATGAGATTATGTGTAAATGGCCCGATACTGCTTAATATTTTCTGCCTTGCAATATGGAAAGGTATTATTTCCATTCAAATATTTTAATGTTAACATTTCAAATGCTCTACATCAATAGTTAACCTCATTACTTCCAAAGACCATTTTAATCAGAAGTACTTTTTTATTGCTCTTTATCATAAAATAAAATTCATGAAATGTATTACCTATACTTAAAATTTCAAAGATATTAGTATGGTATCCTAGATAATATAAAAATTTTTAAAAAGAGGAAAATAATGTTTTTAGAAATGCTTGGGCATAGGTTACCCTAAAAGAAATAATGAAGTAGTTAGAGGCTTGAATTTATAAATGTATATGACACAGCTGGAAATGAGAACTCACGTAGTAGCTATGTTTTCTTGTTAAGTACCATGAGCCTGTTTTTTTTAAACAGTGAATTATCCTGGAAAAACCTCAGTGTACACAAAGTTACCTAGATGTGCTCTTGGAATATATAATGTATGTTAAAACCATGCACAAATAACTTAGGGTTATATATAAAACGGATTTATATGTAAAACCTATAATTAGGTTTCTCATGCACATGGATGTCCCATAAATACACAGAAGCAAATGGGATAAGGAACAATCTTTTGTTTTGTAGGGGACTGTTCTGTGCATTGCAGACAGCATAGCATCCCTTTTCTCTGCCAATGGTGGAGATAGCAATCATGACAATAACAAAAAAGCACCACACACATTCTCAAAATGTCTCTGGGGCTAGTGTTGTTTCCACTTGGTGCTGATATGCCTGATGATCTTCACTCTTGATTAACAAGTAACAAGACGGTTATAAACCATCTTTCCACTGGACTTTAAACTCAGGCAATTGAAATGTCAGAGCCAACTCCTAAAGGCCGTAGAGATGAGCTCCTTCCTCATGGGGCCTCAGATACTGAACTCTTTTGCCTTGTGCAGCTGTGCCAATTCAAGCTGTGTCCACATTCTATATTAAACACCTCCCTCCCCTCATCCTTTCTCTTATTCCCAGCACCCAGGAAGTTCTGCCAAGTGCTCAATCTGGGACCAGTACCTAGTAAATGGGGCTGTCATAACTGGAGATCTCGAGCATGTTCCCCCCATAGAGTTTGTTAGAACAGTAGAAATAACTGTCTGCTGGTGCACACTGGACCTAATGATGGTGTTAATAATGTTAGCTGTTTTTATTTGCATTTGGTGTTTTACAAATCACCAAATGCTTTCATGGTTTTGGTTCTCCCTGATATACATTTTAAGAGCTCATTTCTATTTATTATACAACTATCTGAGCATATGTTGGAATTTGTGCAAATACTCCTGACTATTTTGTCATTCAGTTGGAAGCTGAGCTTCAGGAATGCTATTTCGAGCCACTGATGAAAAAAGAACAAATGGAAGAAAAGATGAGAAACATCAGAGAAGTGAAGTGTCGAGTAGTGACGTGTAAGACAGTGAGTGTGCCCATTTCAACTTTCTACCATTTCTTCTCTTCACTCCTTTCAGGGATCAAAACTAAAGATGAATTATGTTTTGGTTTTGTTGCTTATAAAGTTGGAGTGATAACAAGCTTATGTATTTTTCATAGACCTTATAGGAGAAAGTGAAAGAGCTATGGATCAGCCTTTCTAAATAAGTCCCAAGCCTCATCTATCATCAGTAGCCCATAAGGAGGAGTCTAAGACAGACCATCCTAAGCTGTTGAGAAGTTTACAACACTGGGCTCCTTTGGCCATCACTGTTGTCCTAATGTCACAGAAGTTAATGGGTACTTCATGCCTGGCTAGAAGTTCAAGTAGACATTAGAAAAAGTAGTAATCAATATGAGGGAGTGTCAAGAAATCACTTGATCCACAGAGCTAGAAGATAAAGTGGTGACATCCCCAGCATTGACCTGGGCAGTAAGGGGATGACACCGTGTACTTGGAACAGAGGGTGGCTACCCAGTTTCTCCTTAAAAGCTCTTCATGGACATGTGGTCTGTTGGTTTGTGCAGTGCGCCTACACCCACTTCAAACCTTTGGAGACCTGTGTCAGTGAGCAACATGACTACCACTGGCATGATGGCATCAAGAGGTTTTTCAAGTGTCCCTGTGGAAACAGAAGCATCTCCCTTGACAGGCTCCCAAAGAAGCACTGCAGGTATGAACTTTGCTTGGGGTTTTCTGTCGCATGCAGGGCTCCTTAAGTCTTTTGGTGTTACAATGTGATGCTGAAAAGATCAGAGGAATATTATTCCATGCCTTTTTAGAACTTCTGGATATCCCCAAGACTACAGTTGTCAGTTGGAATCCCTGGGAGGCACGGACACTTCCTTTTCACTGCTATATCCCCAACCTTAATGTGGTGTCTGACCCATAGAGTTCTCAGAAATGTTCATGGAATAAATGAAATATGTATAGGTTGGGCTGGTGAATGAATATATATACTTATTAGGGACTAAGATAAAGAACTGTTTTTCTCTTTCCAAGGATTCTTTTCTTCACTTTAAGTCTCTTTTAACACATGAGAAAGTATACATGTTTTAATGTTCTTTTATTTGTTTTTGTGTTTACTTGTGGGCAGGCTCAGATACAAAGGCATAGCTGGCTGGGTCACATATACGGTGATGTCATCCTCTTGGGGAGGCTGAGGAATCCTTCCTCCTCCATCTCTGGTCCATTCACCATCCTCCTCGTCTTATTTATTTGTTCTTTTTATCCCCTTCCTCACCCCCTCTTCCCACCTCCTAACATAATCAACCATTCTCACATGATTAATATTATGTTTTAGTTTTTTGTAAAATGTTCTGTTTTTATGCACTTTTATTTTGCAGAAATGGCACTATATTAAATGTCTCATCTTAATGTCTCTATTCACTCGGTGTTTTTAGGATACCTCTGTTTGCTCTCTCTGTGCTCTAGTGTGTTCCACCAACTGATAATACTGCTCCATGACTAGCATTCATCACATTCATCCATAGATTTCCATACCCCTTACTCACCCCTTAGGTCCTCATAGAGTCTGGTATAGGAGATGTTTTGGCGTGTACTCAGGATTAGAACTGACCAGATAGTATTAGGCTGCTCTCCATAGTGACCAGGCCAGTCATCCCTCCATCAGGCCTACACAGTGGCCTCCATATCCCCCTGTCTTCAACACATTTTTGCCAGAGTACTAAGTGGCATTCTGATAGTTTGTTAAAATTTTATGTATTTGGGTATTGATATTTTAAATATCAGTTCATATGTTTTTCTTTTTTGTATTTTCTGTTACTGTCTCTTATTAATTACCCTACTGGAGCTTCTTTTTCTTCTTTATTTATAGATGTGTCTTAAATATTTAAGATCTTAGTCCCATATAATTTTTTTATATGTTTTACTTAGTTACATATGACAGTACAATGATCTTGACATTTGAATCAGATGGGATATAATTTCTCATTTTTCTGAGTATACAGGTTGCAGAATCACATTGGTCATACAGTCACATATATACACAGTAATAATAATGTCTGTTTTATTCTACTATCCTTCCTATCTCCCCAACCCCTCCCCTCCCCTCCCATCACTTCTCTCTACCTAATCTAGGGTAATGCTATTCTTTTTTTTTTCCTCACGTCTTCATACATGTATTTTGTATAACAATGAGGGTCTCCTTCCACCATCCATGCAATTCCCTTTCTCCCTCCGTTTCCCTCCCACCCCTCTTCACTATGTAGAGGTAATCTTCTTCCCATGCTCTTCCTCTCTTCCCCATTTTGAGTCATCCCCCTTATATCAGAGAAGACATTTGGCATTTGTTTTTTTGAGACTGGCTAACTTCACTTAGCATAATCTGCTCTAATGCCATCAATTTCCCTGTAAATGCCATGATCTTATTATTTTTTAGTGCTGAGTAATATTCCATTGCCACATTTTTTTTTTTATCCATTCATCCATAGAAGGGCATCTAGGTTGGCTCCACAGTCTAGCTATTGTGAATTGTGCTGCTATAAACATTGATGTGGCTGTGTCTCTATAATATGCTGTTTTTAGGTCCTTTGAGTATAGTCTGAGAAGAGGAATAGCTGGGTCAAATAGTGGTACCATTCCCAGCTTTCCAAGGAGTCTTTATATTGCTTTCCAAATTGTCTGCACCAATTTGCAGTCCCACCAGCAGTGTATGAGTGTACCTTTTTCCCAGCATCCTCGCCAGCACTTTTTGTTGTTTGACTTCATAATGGCTGCCATTCTTACTGGAGTGAGATGATATCTTAGAGTAGTTTAAATTTGCATTTCTCTGATTGCTAGAGATGATGAGCCTTTTTTAGTATATTTGTTGGTTGATTGTATATCCTCTTCTGAGAAGTGTCTGTTCAGGTCCTTGGCCCATTTGTTGATTGGGTTATTTGTTTTTTTTGGTGTATAGCTTTTTGAGTTCTTTGTATACCCTAGAGAGCTCTATCTGATATGTGAGAGGTAAAAATTTGTTCCCAGGATGTAGGCTCCCTATTCACCTCACATTATTTCTCTTGCTGAGAAAAAACTTTTTAGTTTGAATTCATCCCATTTGTTGATTCTTGGTTTTAATTCTTGTGTTATAGGTGTCTTATTAAGGAAATTGGGGCCTAACCCTACCTGATGGAGATTAGGGCCTAATTTTTTTTCTATTAGACGCAGAGTTTCTGGTTTAATCCCTAAATCCTTGATCCATTTTGAGTTAACTTTTGTGCATGGTGAGAGAGAGGGATTCAGTTTCATTTTGTTGCATATGGATTTCCAGTGTTCTCCCAGCACCATTTGTTGAAGATGCTATCCTTTCTCCAGTGCATGCTTTTAGCACCTTTCTCTAATATAAGGTAGTTGTAGTTTTGTGGGTTAGTCTCTGTGTCCTCTATCCTGTACCATTGGTCCACCAGCCTGTTTTGGTGCCAGTACCATGCTGTCTTTGTTACTATTGCTCTGTAGTATAGTGTAAGATCTAGTATAGCGATACCACCTGTTTCACTCTTACTGCTTAGAATTGCTTTAGATATTCTGGGTCTCTTATTTTTCCAGGTGAATTTCATAATTGCTTTTTCTATTTCTGTGAGGAATGCCATTGGGATTTTGATCTGAATTGCATTGAATCTGTATAGTGCTTTTGGTAATATGGTCATTTTAATAATATTAATTCTTACAATTACCTATCCATGAGCAAGGTAGATCTTTCCATCTTCTAAGGTCTTCTTCTATTTCTCTCTTTAGGGTTCTATAATTTCCATTGTTGTAAATCTTTCACCTCTTTCTTTAAGTTGATTCCCAAGTATTTTTTTTTATTTTGAGGACATTGTGAATGCGCATTAGATTTCCTCAATTCCTTTATAGAGGATTTGTAACTGATATAAAGGAATGCCTTTGATTTATGGGTGTTGATTTTATATCCTGCCACTTTGCTGAATTCATTTACTAGTTCTAGAAGTTTCCTGGTGGAGTTTTTTTGGGTCTTCTAGGTACAGAATCATATCATCAGCAAATAGTGCTAGTTTAAGTTCTTCTTTTCCTATAGTTATTCCTTTGATTTCTTTCGTCTATCTAATTGTTCTGGCCAGTGTTCCAAGAACTATGTTGAATAGAATTAGTGAGAGAGAGCATCCCTGTCTTGTTCAAGATTTTATAGCAAATGCTTCCATTTTTCTCAGTTTAGAATGATGCTGGCCTGAGGCTTAGCGTAGATAGCTTTTACAACGTTGAGGTAAGTTCCTATTATCCCTAGTTTTTCTAGTGTTTTGAACATAAAGCAGTGCTGTATTTTGTCAAGTGCTTTTTCTGCGTCTATGGGGATGATCATGTGGTTCTTTAAGTCTATTGATGTGATGAATTACATTTATTGATTTCCGAATGTTGAACCAACCTTGCATACCAGGGATGAATCCCACTTCATCATGGTGCATGATCTTTTTGATATGTTTTTGTATCCGATTTGCCAGAATTTTATTGAGGATTTTTGCATCTGTATTCATTAGAGATACTGGTCTGAAGTTTTCTTTCTTTGAGGTGTCTTTGTCTGATTTTGGAATCAAGGTGATATTGGCCTTGTAGAATGAGTTTGGGAGTTTGGAAGTACTCCCTCTTTTTCTATTTCCTGAAATAGATTGGAGAGTATTGGTATTAGTTCTTCTTTAAAGGTCTTATAAACCTTGGCTGTATATCTGTCTAGTCCTGGGCTTTTCTTGGTTGGTAATCTTTTGATGGCTTCTTCTGTTTCCTCACTTGATATTGATCTGTAGTTTTGTGTATCCTCCTGACTCAATCTGGGTAGATTATATGAGTTAAGGAATTTATCGATGCCTTCACTATCTTCTATTTTATTGTAGTATAAGGTTTCAAAATAATTTCTAATTATCTTCTGTATTTCTATAGTGTCTGTTGTGATATTGTCTTTTTCATCCCGTATGCTAGTAATTTGGGTTCTCTCTCCTCTTCGTTAGCATGGCTAAGGGTCTGTCGATCTTATTTAATTTTTCAAAGAACCAACTTTTAGTTTTGTCAATTTTTTTGTTTCTTTTGTTTCAATTTCATTGATTTCACTCTGATTTTAATTATTTCTTGCCTTCTACTGCATTTGCTGTTGATTTGTTCTTCCTTTTCTAGGGCTTTGAGTTGTAGTGTGAGGTCATTTATTTGTTGGCTTTTTCTTCCTTTAAGGCATGAACTCTATGCAATGAATTTTCCTCTTAGTACTGCTATCATAGTGTCCCAGAGATTCAATATGTTGTGTCTACGTTTTCAATTTCTTCCTTGATGTCTTCTGTAACCCATTGTTCATTCAGTAGCATATTGTTCCTTCTCCGTGTGATGTAGGAATTTTTCTTCATTATTTTATCATTGATTTCCAATTTCATTCCATTATGATCGGATAAAATACATGGTAATATCTCTACTCCTTTGTATTTGCTAAGAGTTGCCCTATGACATAATATATGGTCTATTTTTGAGAATCCATGTGCTGCTGAGAAAAAAAGTGTATCTGCTTGATGTTGGTTGATATATCCTATATATATTAATTAAGTCTAAGTTATTAATTGTGTTATTGAGCTATAGTTTCTTTATTCAACTTTTGTTTGGATGATCTGTCCAGTGGTAAGAGAGGTGTATTCAAATCACCCATGATTATTATGTTGTGGTCTCTTTGTCTCTTGAACTTGAGAAGAGTTTGATTGATGAACATAGCTGCACCATTGTTTGGGGCATATATATATTAATGATTGTTATGTCTTGTTTGTGAATGGTTCCCTTTAGCAGTATGTAGTGTCCTTTATCCCTTTTGGTTAATTTTGGCTTGAAATCTATTTTATTTGATATGAGTATGGACACCCCTGCTTGCTTCCGAGGTCCATGTGAGTGGTATGATTTTTCCCAACCTTTCACCTTCAGTCTGTGTTATGTCTTATCAGGTGAGTTTCCTATAGGCAGCATATTGTTGGATCTTTTTTTTAAAATCCAGTCTGCTAGCCTATGTCTTTTGATTGGTGAGTTTAAGCCATTAACATTTAGGGTTCCTATTGAGCTATGGTTTGTACTTCCAGCCATGTTTGTTTATTTTTGTTATTTGACTTGATTTGTTTTTCCTCTTTGATTAGTTTTTCCTTTACTGTACTACCTCCCACTGTTGATTTTCATTGTTATTTTTCATTTCCTCTTCATGTAATGTTTATTGTGGAAGGTTTTTATTTCATCTTCAAACCTGACGCTTAATTTTGCTGGATACGAGATTCTTGGTTGGAACCCATTATCTTTTAGGGTTTGAAATACATTGTTCCAGGATCTTCTAGCTTTCAGAGTCTGTGTTGAAAAATCTGCCGTTAACCTAATTGGTTTACCCCTAAATGTAATCTGCTTCCTTTCTCTTGTGGCTTTTAAAATCTCTCCTTGTTCTATATGTTGGGCATTTTCATTATTTTGTGTCTTGGTGTGGGTCTCTTGTGGTTTTGTACATTTGGTGTTCTGTAGGCTTCTAGGATTTGGATTTGCATTTCATTCTTCATGTCTGGAAAGTTTTCTAAAATTATTTCATTGAAGAGGTTGCTCATTCAAGATGATATGCTTTGTCTTCATTGTCTGATGTTCTGACTTCTAAGTGTTCTACTCTGCTTGTGATACTCTCATTTGAGTTTTTAATTTGTTTATTATTTCCTTCATTTCCAGGATTTCTGTTTGGTTTTTGTTGTATAAACTCTATTACCCTGTAGAGTTGATCTTTTGCTTATTGTATTTGTTTATGTATTTCATTGTCAAAGTGATCTTTCATTGTCTGCATTTGCCGTCTAAAGTCTTCCTTAAGACTCCAGTTCATCTGAACCATGTATATCTTGAAATCTTTTTTTTTTTTTTTAGATTAATCAAAATACAATTTTTATGTATTTTCAATTCAGAAAGTTATTCACCAGCCTATTCCTGATAGGACTTCCATGTATTCAGATTATGGTTCCATGCACAAAATAATAACCATATGCTTTCAGGAATCTTTAGTAACACATCTATTGTATAAAATACATCTACTTTCCTTTCTCAGTGTCTTTTAGAATCCTTTAGGTGGCAGAGGTTGTTGGTGGTCTACTCCATTATCCATTCTGCCCTCTACCCAGTTTTGTTTGGAAAGACAACATGTCCTGCTAAAAAGACTACATTTGCTATCTGACATTTTTTCTGCTGCAGCTTTTATCTCCTCTATTTTTTAGTTGTCCTGCATTGTTTGTGGCCCTTTTTTTCCTTGTTTTTTCATGTTGCTCACACTTCTTTCCAGCTCTGTTTAACTGTTGTGTTATTATTTTTCTCCTATAATTTTGTATTGCTCTTGAGTAGTTCCGAGATCTCTCCTTTGTTATGGGAGACAATGTCTACAGATGTTGGATTCAATTATAGTTTACAATATATTCATTAGCTTCATCAAAGGCATACAGATTCTGGTGACGTATAGAGAACTGAGGGTCAGTCATAGGACTTTATGTTTAGGGGGAAAGATGTGAGGGTATGGGGCCTAATATATCTTAGCTACTTTGGAGGAGAACTCTAATGAAGAGGGTTATTAACAGGACAATAGACAGGAGGTATTTTAGGGTGGCTAAGTACGTGGGAGGACAATAAGAAGCATAGAAATAATCACCTATTTGCATTTAGTAGTTTACATGTAGTAGAAGTAATAACATTTGGGAGGTTGGGAGAGGAAGAGAAGGAGGAAGAAAAGAAGAAGAAAAAAGGGAGGGGAAGCGATAGAGAAAAAGGAAAGAAAAAAGAGAGGAAAAGAGAGAAGAGAAAGATAAAAAGAAAAGAAGGAAAAAGAAAAGAAAAGAAAGAAATAATGCACTCTTAGAATTCTGTTTTCTTCTCTTCCAGTAGGTGGTGTTGTGCATTCCAGGTTGAGTCTCTGCCCTCAGGATATAGGAAGCAATCCGCATGGGGCAGCTCTCCCTGCCCTGCCGGGTGCCTCTCCAATCCTGGTCTCTATCCCCCCTCACTTCTCTTGCCCACCAGGCCCCAAATACTGGGACTCTTTTCTGCAGCCCTGGATTACTCTGGACTTAGGGCGCCCTGGCCACCCCGCGCTCCTGATCAACTGGGGGCTACCTCTGTGTTGGGGAGTTACCAGGTCTTCACAGCTGTGGAGAGGGGGAGTTGGAAACCAGCAACCTGTTCTGTCTGTATTCTCTCTGATAGCCATGCCCACCAAGAGTTGGAGAGAAAGGTTTCAGGTTATCACAGCTGGGGGGGAGGGGGAGATCTGGCACCTTTTCAGTTTCACTCGGCTCTGAAATTCATGCCCACTGAGAGCTGGCAAAAAAGGTTTTGAGTTATCACAGCTAGGTATCACACACCTGTTCATTCGCTAATCTCGATGTTCTGCTACATCCGCCAAAAGCTGATGCGGTAGATTTTCCAAGATGGCAACCGCCCGTTTGGGCACCAGGGTGTCCGGTGAGGTGTGGGGGTCTAGGCTGTTTATCCACTATGCCTCGAGTTCTGTCCTCGGTCTGGTGCCCTGCAGTGACCTGGGTCAAAGTCTGGCGCACTCTGATCTTAAAGGATCTGTGAGCCTGTGTCTCTACACTGCCAGACTGGTTCCCAGGCTGCTGGCTGGCTTCTGTGCACAGAACTACTTCTTGCATTTTGGGCTGCCCTTGTAACAAACCACTGTTTAAAATCCTGTCACAAGCTCCATGAAGCTTAAATTTGTGAATGGGGGCTCCTATGCTGAAAAGTGTCCGACCACTCACAGAGAGTCACGCCAGTAACAAGTTCTTCTCTACTCCACTATCTTCAGTCTTTTTTTCATTATCTCTCCTCTGCTGAACTTCCTCAAGCCATTTATGTGGGAGTCTTCGCCAAACTGCAACACAAATTCAGCTTCCTTCGGGCAGCTGGCTCAGTGGAGGGCTAGAGCAGTCCCATATAATTTTAATCATCGCAAGTATATTCCCAAACTATTGATTTATAAGTTGAATCATTAGGGAATTTTTTTTTAAATCTCACAGCTTTGTACTTTTATGGTTTTTGTTGTTTTTCTAGTTGTTTTCTTTTTCTCTTACCCCATCCCCACCTTAAAAGTACATAGATAATTTCCTATTGTTTTTTTTCTCTTTAATTACACAGTAAGCCCCATTGTATTTAAGTGTGTTGGCATATACCTCACCACTGAGTAAATCCATCTTTTCTCTTTCAGTAATTGTGGCCTCTACAAATGGGAACGAGATGGAATGCTAAAGGTAGGTGTTTTCATAAGCTTTCTGTTACTGTAACAAACCACTGTGCTAATCAACTGAAAAAGAGGAAAGATTTATTTCAGCTCGGTTTTAGGGATTTGAATCCATGGCTAGTTGGCCCCATTGTTTTGGGGCCTGTGGTAAAACTGCACATTGTGGTGAGAATACATGGCAGAGGAGGCCCATTTACCTCAAGGCTAGGAATGAAATAGAAGAGGCCTGGGTTCCATAGTCCCTTCAAAGGCACAACCCCAATGACCTACGACCTCCTGTGATTCCCCACCTGTTTAAAAGTTCCACACCTCCAGCAGTGCCATGCTGAGAACCAAGTCTTAAACATGTGGGTCTTTGGGGTACATATTAGATCCAACTATAGAGGTGGATTACTTCAGTGTTTATTTGTGACTCATTTTAGTGATCCAGGGAAATAATGTTAAACCTGTTCTTATTAAGTACTCTCATTTTTCTAGGAAAAGACTGGTCCAAAGATTGGAGGAGAAACCCTATTGCCAAGAGGAGAAGAACATGCTAAATTTCTGAATAGCCTTAAATGACCCTAACTTCAGATATTTTTTTTCACAATCTGTCTTGCTTCTTGTGAGTCTGGAAAAGCAAGGGACTCGCTCTGCATTGCCCATGTTTCTGATTGACACCATTAGAAACAAAAACTTGTTAATAAGCCCATCCACTTTCCTTAATTACTTTCCTCTGTTGTATTAATTTTACACCAAATATAACTGACTTACCGGTGGAAAATCAAGATATCCTGAGCTTTCCTGTTCTCACTTTAGATGACCGCATTACTGCATTCACATAAATTTTTGGAGTTACTCCTTAGTTACACTAAATCTTGGAGGGCTTTCCTTTGAGGTGTTTTAGAACATTGAGCAATGAATGGGTGGGCCAGGGGTACAGCACAGGTGGGGGAACTTACTTGTAGGCCTTGAAAACATTCCTAATGAGATCAGTCTTTTAATCCTGTTTATCAACATGTATTAAATGCTTTCATGCAAACCTAACAGGTGTTAAATTTTTTTTTAACATGTCATTAGTAGGGTATTGTGTCATTACAGGCCATTGGAGCAGGGTTGAGCAGTAGCCGTTTGTCCTTTATGGAGAACTTGGTGTGGAGATTATAATTTTTACAATAGTTTTTGTTTGGTTGGTTGGTTGGTTTGGTTTTATGGGGGGGGGTTGTTTGGTTGGTTTTGGTACTCTTGTTGTGCATTTTTCCTTTTGGAGGAAAAAAAAACTTGGCTTTTTAATAGAAAATCACCTTTCATTGAGTTTTATAATGATAAAATGTTTTCACTTTCAAAACAACAAAAATAAAACAAGTATTTTAGGTAAAAACCATTCAGAATAGCAAATAAGGAACTTCTGAATGGCTGGTGTAGAATTTTCCCCAAAGGGAACCTAAAATATGAAAAGCTTCACATTGGACAAGGAAGAGAGTGCATGGACTGGATTTCTGTGGAAAAGTTCATGATAAAAGAAAAGCTTGATGCTGTTTATAGCAGGTTAATTAATGTCTAATGACATTTGTTTGTTCTAATCTGGAGCACAGATCTGTTTGCTTAGGTATGTCACTAGTAGCAACAAACTAAGTGGCATTAAAGGTAAAAGAGATCGGTTAGCTTATTAGGTTGACGACAATTTGTGAAAAAAGCCTAGAAATTTTGAAAATTAAAAATATGGCTACACTGTTGGACATGTTACTCTGCATGCAAGTCATCACAAAAGCACTTGAAGAACTGATTTAGAAGCTATAAATCAAATTAGGTGAATTTGCAAACATTGAACCACAAATAACCAATGACTATATAGTATTTCCTCAAATACGACCAGATCAGGTATACTCTATTTTGCAGATTAGAAATTGGTTAAGTAATTTAGAAATAAGGTTGAGACTTATTTGAACCAAGTTTAGTAAGGTTTCTTTTTTTGTTGTTTGTTTTAATTGTGTGTGTGTGTTTTTTTTTTTTTTTTTTTAGTTGTAGATGGATACAATATCTTTATTTTTATTTATTTATTTTTAAGTGGTGCTGAGGATTGAACTCAGGGCCTCATGCATGTGATGCAAGCACTCTACCACTGAGCTACAACCCCAGCCATAGTAAGGTTTCTTAAGCAAAGACTTAGCTAACAATATTTTTTAAAATCAATTATATTAAGGTATAGATTACATACAGTAAAAGGCACATACCTAAGGTATAAGTTGAAAAATTTGAACAAGTGTTTATACCCATGTAGCCACACCACAAACCTAAAGCAAGATGTTGCTTTCTCCTCCAAAAGGTAGCCTTGAACCACTTGCCAATCAATCTGCACCCCAGCCCCTACAGATTTATATTCTAGTTTTAGATAAATGGAATCTTACAGGACATACTTTGGTATCTGGCTTCTTTCACATGGCATAATTTTTTAAATTTATCCATATTATAGTGTGTTATCAATTTTTTTTCTTTTTTATTGCTGGCTTCCCTGTAAATGGTTTGTTTATTCACCTGTTGATATTCATAATGGATTGGATTGTCCCTAGTTTGGGGCTATCATGAATAAAGCTGCTAAAATTATTTTAGCAATATAAGTATTTTTGTGTCTCAGGCAAACACCTAGGAGTGGAATTTCTGGGTTATATGGGAAGCTTCATAAGAAACTGCCAAGTTGTTTTCCAAAGTGGTTGTACCATTTTATACACCAACTGGTAATGTGCAAGGGTTCCGTTTGCTCCACTGTCCCAATACCTGATATTGTCTTTTTAGCCATTCTGATGTGTGTGTAATGGCATCTTATTATGGTTTGGTTTGCATTTCCCTGGTAACCAATACTATTTGAGCATCTTTTCATGTACTGTCCATTCATGTCCTTGTTTTGTTTTTGGTTTTTGTTTTTTTAACTCCAGGCCACTTAACCATAGAGCTAAATCCCTACACCTTTTTATTTTGAGACAGAGTCTTGCTGAGTTGCTCAGGGCCTTGCTAAATTGCTGAGGCTGGCTTTGAACTTGCAGTCCCTCTGCCTTAGCTTCCCAAGCTGCTGGGATTATAGGCTTTTGCCACCACGCCCAGCCTCATGTGTCTTTATGACATATGTCTACTCATCCATTTATATTTTTTTTTAATTATTGGATTGAGTTATGTATATTCTGGATACAAGTGCTTTCTTTCACCATTAAGTATCATGAAAGTATTTTGAGTAATGTTGGGCAGAAGATCTATGAAAATAGTCTGGTTTTTTTCTTGTCATAATTCCCCAGTGATGTAATCAGCTGAGCACAGTGGGTTTGACCTTGAGAGAGAACATTTCAAGTACTGGGTTTGGTAAATTCCTGGGTTTTTTATTTTGATTTATTTTTACATAATTAGCAAATATATCAAATTGGAAGTATTGTCTAGTTGTATGTTATTCAGGTACTGTGTTAGTTTTCCATCATTATAATAAATACCTGAGATATCCAATTTATAAAGAAAAAGGGTTTATTTTGGCTCGGTTTTGGAGGATGGTTGGCCCCCTTCTTTTGGGGCCTGTGGCAAGGCAGTGTATCATGTTGGGATTGCATGTTGGAGCAAAACCAACTCATGGCTGAGAAGCAAAAAAAGAGGAAGAGGAGACCAGAGTCCTACAGTCCTCTTCAGTGACACAACCCCAGTGACCCAAGACCTTCCACTCTTTCCACCTCTGAAAATTTATCCCAATCACACCAGGCTAGAACCCAAGTCTTTAACACAGGGACCTTTAGGGGACACTGAAGATCCAAACTATGACAGGTACTTGTTCATGTGTTAAAGGCATAAGAAAGGTTGTCCTTTCTGTACTGTTTTATTTTTTTCAATAATGACTTCAGGAGAGCAATCTAATGGTGTAATTAGATTGTTTCTCATGTAAATAAATTTACAGAATATTAAATATCTTGCCTCTTGGTGCCATAATTCTGCTGAGTGCATGAATGATCAACCATGAACTGATAACATCACAAGCTTGCTGGACACCATGGTGCACACCTCTAATCCCAGCTTCCGGGGAGGCTGATGTAGGAGGATTACAAATTCAAAGCCTATCAACAATTTAGCAAGCCCCTGCCTGAGAATAACCAGATGGAATTGGGAAGGTAGCTCGGTGATAGAACACTTGCCTGGCATGTGTGAGACCCTGGATTCAATCACAAGTATTACCCAAAAAAAGAAAGAAATTGTTTTTGCAAGGCCAGTGCTTTATAATAATGACATTGTTGTTATTGTTTTTATTTGGGGAAAGATTTAAGGACAGGAGTCTACACACTGAAAGATTTCAGAATCACTAGTATAATATTTAAGACCCCAAAGTATTATGTTGTCTAAATCAATGAGTTGTCTAGAAAATATATTCACTTTAGTTTTCATATCAGTTATTTTCCAGCCATATCCGAAACCTCAAAAATTGCTGTTCCTGTAGGAAACTTTGAAAACTGCTTAACTATAAATTAACTATACCATCTTGTTTATATGATAAAAAAGAAATGGTTCAATAGGTAAAGTAGGTATTACTGGACAAAAATGAATTTTAACGTTTAAAAAATAAAAAGTTTCTGTAGATTCTTAGGTGTACACAGATTACCTTCAGAATCCTCAAGATGTGGGAATGATGGTTTCCTTTGGAGACAAGAGGGATGTACTTTCTAGTGTGTTCCTTTCTGTCCTTTGTAAGTTTGAAAGCATGTATGTAGATTACCTGTTCACATTGTGTGTCTGTGTGTGGTGCTAGGGATCGAACCCAAGGGCCTCACACATGCTAGGTATTCAAACTTTAACTTTTTAAAAAAGGTAATATGGAAAGGGGCAAAGCTTTCCAGCAGTGACAAACCTCCCAAGATATCATGCCTCTCACGAAGGATCTCCTTCAGCCCTTTCTAGAGGAAAGCACCTGGCACAGAGCCCCATTCCCCCTCCATAGATGCAACAGGCCCAGGATGCTGTAAGATCACCAGTCTTCAGCCACACAAAGGGTAGTTTTGTGTGTTGCCCATTTCACTGTCCTTTGCCAACTCACAGGAAGAAAAGCCAGGCTTACTGGAGGGTGGTCCTTCAAGAGGAAGCAGCACCCAAAGCACCCTGAGTTGAGGTGAGCAGGAAATCATCTCAATAGGCATCTTTTGGATTTTTTTTTTTAAGTCTTGATATGTTATAGGATCACAGAGTATGCCAAAGTTATCAACTGTGAACTAGAACATTAATATTCAACCCATTTTGCTGAGGGCCATTGCCAAGTAGGAATGACACATCAAAATTTCCTTGCCAGCATACCCCATGTTAAATGGACTTGCCTTGGAAATCCGCTGTGACCTTGCATGTGTGTTTGAGAAAAGTGACCCTGCTCAAGGACGAGGGTGGATCCAGGTTTAAGGTGTATCCTGCAGGTTTGAGGAAGTATCCCACTCCTTGGGTTTAGGGCATTCCCGGTTTAAGACAATCTGGTTTTAGGGAAGTTCCAGGTTGAAGGTTATTCCTTCTGGGAATGGGGTGTTCCTGCTGCCTGAGTTCCCCTTGAGTTCTCCTGGAATTTAGAAAGTATTTTGGGATGTGAATTGGCGGGCAGAACAGGGATTTCCCCAGAACATGTGTAGAGGCCGGTGTGAGTTCGGGAATAAAGAATTGCTGTTTGAATCTACAAAGCTGTGGTGGCTCGTGATTCAGTGCCCAGCCAAGACTGCGGCACCATTTGCCTTTAGACAAATCTTTTACAAGCTTGAAACAGAACTTCTAAATTATAGAAAACTTGTGGAGCATTAGAATATCATTGAAAATAAATTAGAAATGAAACTCTCCTAACAAGACTTCAAAAACTAAAAATCATTCTGAAACTCACAAAAATAATCATCTCTTTTCAAAAAACCTTAAGTAAATAAAGGCAGATGATAAGAAGTTGCAAAATTTCCCCTGGAATGCATGCAGACACACACAAGCAAACACACACGCACAATTTGTTTGTTTTTAGTTCTGGGAATCAAACCCAAGGCCTCCAGAATGCTAAGCACGCACTT